AAAAAAAAAATATATATATATATATATATGTGTTTCTTTTTTCCGAAGGGCCTTGATTTTCCCATTTCTGATCCGAGGAGGAAAGCCCATGCCACTGTACACCTTTATCCTGGCATTCATATTCTGCACCTATAATGGCTACTTGCAGAGCAGATACTTGAGCCAGTATGCGGTATATGCTGACAACTGGCTCACTGACCCCCGATTTCTAACAGGTGAGTGTCCTTAGTGATGCACTCCATCCTCCTAATCATAACTTTGGTGCTCACCTTCCAGTAGTGTCCAGTTAGAAAGCGCACACTTCTTGAGAGAACAGAGAGTCTGCGTAGGTCCATGACCTAGCAGGGGGCCAAGCACTGGCGGGAGGGAGGGTCAGGCTGTCCCAGCGCCGCATCAGTAGCAGGAGATGACGCAGGTGCCCCGTCACCCTTGCCCACTCAAGCACTGAAAGCACACATACCTGTTCTTAAGGTGAGCCTAAAAATAGCAACCAGCTCCAGCAGAGTGAGCAGTGGATGGAGAGTGAGTTCATTTGGGCACTAATTGACTGTGTAATCTAAGACAGTGGTTAAACCTCCTACGGTTTCTTCTGGAGAGCGAGAGAAAGTCAGAGTGGTGGTTTAAACCAGATCATCACACTGGCCCACAAAAGGCAATGAGGGACAGAGAAAGGGGATTGTTTTTTAAACTAAAAGATAAAGGTTTTAAATGTTTATTTGAGATTCTCATGGGAATCGTTTTTATGATGAATTGTTTGAACTTTTGATGAACAACAAAACAAAAGAATTCTTTGGTCTGTGAATTTCAATGTCATTTAAAGGAGCTGTATAGATAGACCATGTTACCTGCAGGTGCCTTTGAAATTGGTCTAAAATTTAAGACATCAATAAATTGTATACAGACTTCTTGACTTCTCTATGATTGAACAGAAGTAATTGAAAACGAGGAAATATGCCAACTGCGAAACAAACTGGGTTACTTTTTTGATATTATATTCATTTCATAAAGTTTATAGCTTTTGTAATTACATGAATAATTTTAGAAATCACATAATTAATTATACTTACAATAGTTATTATGAAAAGGTTAAGCAAGTATCCATAGTAATAAAATCCTAACAAAAAGTTTCCCAGAGAAGTAAGAGTGGTTAAGCTAAAAGAATTTATACAAAGATTTTAAGATCCCTAACCATGGAATTAAATGTTTAGTTCAGATGAGCACAAATATTAGTTTGCCTACGAATCTAGGCAATAGAGGGAGCTTGTCTCTTAGAAGACAAATAAAGGAAGCATGGAATTTTGAGAACGTGATGCTTTCTGGAACATCAAATTAAGGGCCAAATCACCTAGAAGTGACATACTGAAATTCAAAGAAGGTAGCGAGTCAGCCATAAATTGATGGATCCAGTAAGTGACTTATAAAACATATTAGACAGTTTGGTACAAACTGTTTAGAAAGGAAGCTGCCTAGTGAAATCAATAGGAAGAAATCTTGCAAGTCTTACTGTAGACCTGAACATGATTTGTATGTCCCTGTTCTAACTGTGGAAAACTATTTAATGCCACAGGGGTAACTGATGAATAACTTAATAACGTTACTCCAAGTGTACGTTCCTTTGAAATTGAATTGAATGCCACCATTAAGCACCATCTGCCTTTCACATTGTTTTAAACATCTCAGAATAATCAAATTAACTCTTTTTATGAAATCAAGTTATTCCTTTTATCAAACACTATTTTGACATTTTGCCTTTTCTTGTTGGAATTAATTGATATGATACTGGTAAGTCTCCTTTAAGTGATGAGAAACCTCTGAAGGCTTTGGAGAATTGGAGAGAAAATGTTCAGATGCTGTGGAATATCTACGCAGAGCTGGGTGGCTGGCAGTTGAAGATTTAGTTGGGGGAGATGAGGTGGATGAACAGACCCAGGAACACCGACTGATGAATGAGCAGGAAGTCAGGGGTGGGGGAGGCCGTGGATGTGCGTTAAATTGTTCAAATGAGGTTATAGAGAAAGAGGAGAAGAGGCCCAGAGGTTAGCTCCTCCGAACCGCCCCTCAAGGGGCCTGAATGCAGCCAGTCATGGTAAAGCACGCGCTGCGATATCCTGGCTCCTCTTCTGCCAAACAGAGGGGCCAGAGGGGCCATCGTGCTTCAGACAGTGTTTGAGAGGACAAATAAACTTTGTGGGCTGACCCACTGACAATGGTAATACCTCTTCCTAGAAAAGAGCCTTGTGCCTTAGTCATAAGTCAAATTTCTAATCATACCAGTCATCCTAAAAACATAGATTGTGGCCATCAGGTCAAGCTGTCTCAAATAGATTAGATAATTTAATAGTATGATTAGAAAAGCAAAGCCCTATCTAGCAGGCCTAGAGCAGTGCTTATAAGTCATCTTTCTAAATAAAGCACAGTATTTATTATATACAATGATTTTTGCTATCAGTCATGGCTAATATGTTATACCAATAATACCCTTCATTCAGGCTTGGGTTTGTAAACTTTGTAGTTTATTAACCATAATACTCTTGAATATTTTATTTTCTTTATATCTTATTTTCTTTAGGTTTTGTCTTGTGGTTGTTAGGCATGCTGATAAACATCCATTCAGATCATGTCCTAAGGAACCTCAGGAAACCAGGGGAGACTGGATATAAAATACCAAGGGGTATGTACCGAAAATGGGTAATTTATTCTAAAATTTTATTGAATGATGCTTTGCTGTTTTAGTTTTGCCAGATCTCGTAACTAAAGTGCAGTATATTTTAGCTGCAGGTTTTCAGCGTGAGTCACCATTATCATTCATAACAGTGACTGATTACTGTTTCGTTAAAATGATAGAAGAAGCAATTCTGACTAACTGAACGCTTATTAAGCAAAAAGGAAGCTCTAGTTGTATCTGTGTTTGGGAAGAGAGATTAGTAGGATTTTGTGATCTACAAGGGGTGTCCGATAGTTCATTTCTAGCCACAGAATAGAATCGATAGCTCGATTGACCCTCCCTCCGAAAACAATTTAAAATGTTGGGTGAAAAATTTAAATGCATCAGTGTGGTATCAAGAAAGCAAGTAATCATCAGAGGGCAAAATCTAAGTGAGTGCTAGAGTCCAGAGTGCATCTTGTTTTAACCACTAGCTGACCCTCATGCTGGTCTTGTGGCCCAAATTCGTGCCACTTGCCTGGTCTGAAAAACGTCCAGCTGTGAATTAGGATCCATGTATTCCTGGGGGTGGTGCGCTCATGCCTGTGGCCAACGCAAGCCCAGGTCCCCAAGGAACCTGCCTTCAACTCAGGCCTCCGAGAGCCCAGCAGACCACACACCACAGATTAAGGGCCACAGTCAAAAGTTGCAGAGCCCATGAGGAATAGGGCACGATGAACAAGAGCTTCATGAACATGAGCAATCTCAGATCTTAGAGTTCATAGACTCAAGTTGTAAAGTGAATACTTAAATATTTAAAAAATAAAAAAGGGATTGAAATTATGAGCAAAGGAGCAGTATACTCTAAAAAGGACAACATAGATACAAGCTGGAAAACAACAGAGCTTCTGAAAATTTTCTTTAAATATTAGTAGGTAAAACTAAAACTAGAGTGAAAGTGAGAAGCACACAGCAGCACTTAGTTTGGAATCCTTCAGCTTATCTTCCTGGAAACCATACAGGAACAACAGCAGAACAAATGACCAAAAATCCCTGTAAAGCTCAAATGACTTAAACTGTGGCCCTGGGGTTACCCTTGGAGTGTGCAGCTCTGCTCTCCGGCCCGATGACTCCCAGGCCCCCACGCCCTGCTCTGCCCCTTGGGTGCCCCCCCTCCCTGGGGTGTAATGGCCCAGATGTTGGGGGATGGGTCTGGTCCACACAGCACCCCACGTGCTTTGAGAAAGGTCTGGCCTGTCATGTAGACTTGATGAATCTGTGAAGATTTGAGGAGTGAATGAATGAGTCTGTCCTTGAAAATTTGTATTTTCTCCAGCTTGATTCATTAACCAGGGAGGTGATATATCGAAGTGTGTTAAAACCGTAGCATTTTATAGTCAGACAAACAGATAGGTATTGATACAGGCGTGTACTTACTACCAGAAGTTGTGATATGAAGTAGTAAAACCGGTCACGTTAGATGTGTCTCATTGATGAAAATTCTGTAGAAGTTGTATTTCCCCAGAGTTGATTTGTGTGTTCTCCGAGGAAGTATCCACTGGTATCTCTTAATCAGGGTTTCATTAGGCACTGTTTCATAGTAAACGCACTGCTGGGTCTCTGTTTTCTTCTAGGGGGCTTGTTTGAATACATCACTGCGGCCAACTACTTTGGAGAGGTCGTCGAGTGGTGTGGCTACGCCCTTGCCAGCTGGTCCATCCAAGGCTGGGCTTTTGCTGTGTTCACCTTCTGTGTCCTTCTCACCAGGGCTCAGCAGCATCACCAGTACGTTTGAAAATGCTTTTAGCATTTCTAATTTGTCCTCCGACCTTGGTAGAGCAATTTGCAGGTTAGATTTTTGAAATGTTCATATCAATTTGCCAAATCCCAGTTTAGACCAGGCTTTAGCTAAACGAGCATGGAACCACGCACATGTCTGAAGAATAGCCCAGGTGTAATCGTCAGGTACGCGTCAGCCACGTCATTTGCTCCACCCTGCTCTGAGCCTCTTTGAATGTCTGCTGCTGGACTCGGTGGTCAAGTTGAATGTCAGGCAGGGGGATTCAGTGTCTGACGTGGACTCGCCGATGACAACAGGGGACGCTGACCGGGCATCAGGCCCTCGGGCGGCTGCAGTTGGAAGCATCAGCGTCTGGCCCTGGCAGAGCCCCTTCCCACAAGGGCATCCCACTGTGCAGGGTCCCTGATGGACTCCTGGGATACCGCACCCGGAGGTCACATTGTTTTCCAGAGTGTGAGGCCTTTATCAGATCCCCAAAAGGGTCTGTGATCCATTTGACCAACAGTAAAGAAAACAAAGTATATTAAAGCTGAAGTAAGCTTGGAGAGCATCTTCCCCATCTAACAGGTGGGGAAACTGAGGCTCAGGCTCAGACAGGGTGGAAGTCACGTCTCGCTGAGACTGGAGAGCTTGCAGACCATCTGAGCATCGGGACAGTCCCCTGATGCCGCAGCAATGCTGGAAGTTTGGAGCAGCTGGTTCCCCAGTGCCCACATGGACAGCTCGTGTCCTCTGAGCTCGAGGGGATGCTGCTCTGCTTCCCTGGCTTCATTCACTCAGAAACATTCCATCCTAATATCCAGGGCTGCTGACACAGAGGCATCCAAAAATGTATATCATTGTCCTGCTTCACGGACTTTGCCATCTCTTTGGGGAACAGGACAGAGCTGGAAGGCCAGCAGAAGAATAGATGATATCACGGTGCAGTGGGAAACACAGACTTCTTAGAGTCAGAAGTCCTGGGTTTATGTCCCAGGCTCACCATGTATTTAAAGACACAGAGGATTATTATTGGAGGTAATGAGGAAGAGCTAAAAATATCTGTTTAGCTAATAGTTGAAGACATTACAGCAAAAGCGTGAGAGTTATTGAGATCCTGAGAGCAGCACCTCTGTTCTTTGAAGTGCCCCCTGCGCTGGTGAGCTGGTGAGCTTCCCTCCTGCCAGTGAGGGGAGTAGGGCCACAAAGCCAGGACCCGTGTGTATCCCGGAGCTGCTGTGAAGACAGGGGTGGGAAGGAAGTCCATACCAGCGAGGGCTCAGGAAAGGGGTTACAGCGTCAGAAGTGGCTCAAACGCACAAATGTTCAGGAATGATTCGCCGTCTAGGGTTGGATTGAGTCCTAACCCCAGGAACAGAGTCTGTGTAGATGGGCTTAGTTCAGATGAGGTCACCCTGGAGTCAGGCCCTAGTCCAGTAGGACTGGTGTCCTTACGAAGAGGAGTCGCTTGGACACAGACATGCACGCAAAAGAAGTGACGGCTGCGTGCAGACAGACAGAGGGAAGCTGAAGGCCAAGAGTGTGGCAGTGATGCAGCCACAAACCAAGGGACCCCAGAGGCTGCCGGAAGCTGGGAAAGGCTGGAAGTGAAACCGTACACCTCAGACTGGGACTTAAACCCACGCCGGCCGGGACTCGAACCCGGCCAAAACCCACAGTCTTCCAACTGAGATCACACACCGGGTTTCAGGACTTAAATGAAGCTCAGATTCTTGAAGTCTCATCGCAGAAAGAATTCAGTGAGAGACAAAGTGATGGGTAAGAAGTGGATTTATTTAGAGAGAAACACACTCCACAGACAGAGTGTGGGCCATCTCAGAACGTGAGAGAGGCACCAGGGTATGGGAGCGGGTAATTTCATAGGCTAATGAGGGGGAGGAGTGTTCCAGTTGTTTCAGAAAGGGGCGGGGATTTCCAGGAATTGGGCCACCGCCCACTTTTTGATCGTTGTGGCCTGTCTTGGAACTGTCATGGCGCCTGTGAGTGTGTCATTTAGCGTGCTAACCTGAGCTTGCTGATACTGAGGCTCAAGGTCTAGTGGAAAAAGTCGACTTGTCCGCCATCTTGGATCCATTTGGTTCTAATCAGTTTATGTCATGTCCTTGGGCTGTGTCATTCTTTCAAGGGTTGTTCTTTCCCTCCTGTTTCAGAAAGACCCTCCCTTGGAGCCTGGGAGGGAGCTGTGGCCCTACCACACCCGGACTGCAGGCTTCTGGCCGCCAGGCATAAATGCTGTTGTTTCAAGCCCCCGGTTTGTGGCTCTTTGTTATAGCAGCCCTGAGAAACCAACACACCAGCCCTTCCCGGATTTACAGTCCATAGGGCTGTAAGCAAAGGCAGTGAGTCTGAGGTCCTCAGTTTTCTCCTCTGCTAGATGATTTCCCCAGATCTCATGCCTATGAAACACTTTTCTCAGAACCAGAAAGATTCATACTCTTAGCAGGCCTGGCTGAAATAATATGTTATTATCACTTTAGAATAAAAGTATCTAACAACGCCCTAGAAAATGAATAAAGCAAAACTAGGTCCCACCAAAAGAAATGAGCAAAGTGCAACTTCCACCTACGTTCAGTTGACGAGCACACAGGCAGCTGATCTTTCTAGGATGTAATTTATTAAAAATAGATTCTCTAACCCCCTCAATCCCTGCTAGCAAAAGGGTCTTTCCCAACATTTTTTCCCTCCTCCCTCCCCCTTCTTCCCCTCCCTCTTCCCCTCCCCCTCCTCCCCCACCTCAGCACCAGCACCTACCCCACACAGCCCAGTGCAGGGGCCTAAGACCACCTTCTCATGGCCATGGGGGAGATGCTATTCCTGTCCATTTGTTATATTAGATATTAAAAAGTGAATATTGGTTGCTTTCTAATAATAAAAGCAAAAGAGATAATCCTGACATTTTAAGAAAGTGGAACAGAGGAAGATTGAACAAGAGCACACTAGGTCAGTCGTAAAGATGTTTTCTCAAATGAAAACAGGGCACAGGAAAATCCCTCTCAATGCTGCAGTGTGACACAGATAGAAATAGAAAATAATCCTATTTTCCAAATGAAAGTCTCTGTAAAGAAAGCCCAAAGGTGTTCTTTGCAGATTTACGGGTTGAAAGGGCTCTTTTTCATTCATTTTCTGTTTAAATTGATGGCAGTGTGAAAGCAATTTTAATTGCTGAACAATTAATTCGGTTTAGTGGAAGTATGTTCAGAAATGTTAGATTTACAAGCTGAGGACAAAGTAAAGCCTATCTTTTTTTTTTTTTTTTTTAAATCCAGTCAACACAACTAATGAAACCATCAGATAAATTGCTTCCAAAAGGGAACAATCCCTGGGACTAGTCCTTGCACTATATTTGACTTACTGACAACGTTCCTAAAGCCATACTTTATTACAATGAACTTCTTTCTGTAACAGCTAGACGTGAATTATTTAAATCCATAAATGATGGTTATATTGATAATTAGATCTGTAGATCAGAAACTTAGGGTCACCTGTTCAGAGTAGCTAACAGATATTCAGGTTTGAGGGCCACATTTCAAGGAATGGTGAAGGGGGGCACGTTTTCTCACTGTTTTCTTCCCTGCCAGCCTCCAGCAGCCATGCTTGTTTGATGGGGCCAGGGTGTGGCTGCACATGATTTCACAGCTGTGTAAGAATGAACTCAGACGTGTGCTCGTGCACACCCGGGCACTAGAGGTTGGGGCCAGCCTCAAGCACAGTCTTTGAGGGCAGACTCTGTTGAAATAAATTATTGCATGCTTATCTATTTGTTAACTTTAATGTCATTTTTAAAAATGAACCCAATGCGTCTTCAAGACACTGGTTGATGACACAATGATTTTTTTAAAAAGGCCCACACGAATATGACATGCTGCCATCTTGTCACAGCCTATTTCATGAGACTTGGGTGCGTAACCGTGATTTGTGAATGCTTCGAAAGTGTTTACTCAGCTGTCAGTGGCCCGTCCCTGTGTTCAAAAACACAAAGCTGTTTCTGAGCCTGAAACACACAAACGGTTAGGGGTTATTTTGCATTCAACAGAAAGGCAATGAGATGTTAGTTCAGTCGCCACAGTAATAAAATCAAGACAAAAAATTGGTATCCAGCCCTGGTCAGTGTCACATAAGCTTTGGTTCTAGGGGTAGCAAAATGAATGAGAAAAGTAATAGAAATATGCCGCTTGTCATTTTAAAACTATCTATACATACACACATACTTAAAGTACTTTTTTCTTTTTGGCCGCGTGGCGTGTGGGATCTTATGAGTTCCCTGACCAGGGATCAAACCCATGCCCCATGCAGTGGAAGCACAGAGTCCTAACCACTGGACCACCAGGGAAGTCCTTTAAGTATGTTTTCTTGAGGTGGGTTTGTGGTCTCAGTGTTCAAACAAATGAGAAGTTTCCTGGGTGGCTGCACAGCTCCTGGAGCCGTCCTGAGGGCGTGGGCGGGAGCGCCTGTCCTGTTCTTGATGTCTTTGGGCCGCCGCCTTCACTCTTGCCCATCTGAGGCCGGTGTCCCAGTTCCCTGGGCAGTTTCAGGACAGGGGCTGGCATCCTGCTCTCCTAGCGTGCTGTCCACACAGCTGCCCCATGGGAGGCTCTTTGGAACTGGCTGCGGGTCCATGTCCTGGATCCCGAGCGGGCTGTCTTACTGTGTTCAGGCTGCTGTCACAAACATGCCGTAACCCAGGGCCGTATAAACAACAAACAAGGGCTTCCCTGGTGGCGCAGTGGTTGAGAGTCCGCCTGCAGATGCAGGGGACACGGGTTCGTGCCCTGGTCCAGGAAAAGCCCACATGCCGTGGAGCGGCTGGGCCCATAAGCCATGGCCGCTGAGCCTGCGCGTCCGGAGATTGTGCTCCGCAACGGGAGAGGCCACAGCAGTGAGAGGCCCGCGTACCGGAAAAAAGAAAAAAACAAAACAACAAACGATTATTTCTCAGAGTTCTGGAGGTTGGAAATTGGAGATATGGGTGCCAGCACTGGCAGTTCTGGGAAAGGCCCTCTTCTGGGTTGCTTTCTCGCTGTAACCTCAAGGAAAGAAAGAGCCGGGGTGGGGGTGGGGGGGCTCTTTAATCAAGGCACTAATTCCATCCTTGAGGCTCCACCTTCATGACCTCATCGCCTCCCAAAGGCCTCACCTCCTAATACTATCATTGCCCCGGGCGTTAGGTCTTTCACATGACTTTTGCCGGGGTCACATTCAGACCATAGCACAGGCTGAGGTGAGTAAATATGTGGACTGTACACATTCTTGGCACCTCTGCTGCCCATAGCCCTTCTTGTCTCCACACACATCACTGATCTGGAAAAGTCCGTTTTTACTGTGGCCTCATGTCAGGGGAGGTGCTGCTTGATCTGAGGTCCAGTGACCAGCTTATGTGGGTGTTTCTCATCATGTGTCTTTTGGGGAATACAGAACAGCGCATGAGAGCACCATGGCATCTGCTATGTTGTAATTCTGTATTTGTGGATGACAGTGTTGAGTTGTTCTAAAATCGACAGGATTTGTTGACTCACTTTCAGGTTGTTGTTTCCATATGTTTCTGCCATCTTAACAAATTAGCTAATTTTTTTTGAATTTTATTTTATTTTTTTATACAGCAGGTTCTTATTAGTTATCCATTTTATACATATTAGTGTGTATATGTCGATCCCAACCTCCCAATTCATCCCACCCCCACGCCCCCGCCATTTTCCCCCCTTGGTGTCCATACGTTTGTTCTCTACAATAGCTAATTATTTTCCATCATTGTTTTTAGTCTGTTTAGCACTCTTTTGTACTTATGGAAAGGCTTTTTCTGCCTATTTCTCCATTTTGTCAGATTATTTTTAATCTCTTACTCCACCCATTTAGCTGCCACCCTTCCCAACAGGCTATTACCCCACAATGAATGAGTGTGCCTTTGTTGATTTAATTTATATCAAAACTGAAAATACCTGTTTGAGTGCAGGGCCGAATTATGAATGACCCGTGTCATGTGTTCCTCTGTTTGTTTGAGAGTCACCTGGCATGTAGCTGTGTGCCCCTGCCACAGACCCTGGGTCTGGAGCAGTAGTTCTCTTCTGGGAACTGGAGAAAACTCTTGGGGTAACTAAGAGGTTCCTCTCCCCTCCCCCAGTCAGCCTGCTTCCCAAGATCTGCAAAGATAGCGCCCCAATATCCTGATCTGCATGTCTATCACATGCCTGTAATTTTCCCTGCCAATATAAAGGTGAATTATATGAGTCACATCTTCGTGAATCGTGCTGTACACTCTGATATGTTTATTCATGATACAGACAAAGTCAAGCTATATGTCTGAGATGCCAGAATTTTTATTACTACTTTTAAAAAGCTCAGTATCCCTTTATGATGAGAAATAGTGTCCGTTTCGTTAGCAACTGTTAAATGTTTCAGTGAGAAAATTAAGTTTTTTTAATGTATTTTTTTGTCTTATTTCAGGTGGTACCATGAGAAATTTGAAGACTATCCCAAATTCAGAAAAATTATGATTCCATTTTTGTTTTAAGTTCGTTGTCAATGGGGTTACCTTCACCTTGAAGCTTTTCCATCGTGTTTCTCTCAGGATGATATAAATGAACGTGTGTCTCTGTAAATTTTCTGCTACTTTACCTTTTTCAAGATTTGCTCTAGGATTGTGTAAATGAGTAAACTATCTAATAACAGTAGCAAATGTGTAAACTACCTAATAACAGTCTAATCAAACTGAAATGGCAGGTGGAAGTATGACGCTGCATACCAGGTCACAGATCTGCAACTCTGTAATTGCAGCTTGACGCTCCTCCCATTTGTCTGCCTCTTTGGACCAAAACATTCTCTACCCATTGCACAACTCCCTACATCAATGAGTTTAAGGTCAAAGGTGATGTTGTCCCCTCCCCCTATGGAAGTGTGTTCTGTCTTCATGTCCCTCTCATCCCCCTAGGTCGGAGAGGCCCAGGTCCCCACAGAGTACCCACCACAGCCTCTCACTCTTGGGTGCTGGGCAGGCAGAGAAGCTGGGCTTAGAGAGAGGAGAGGCCCAACGGAGGCCGGTGCAAAAGGCCTCTGGCACCTGCTCCAGCCTGGACCACCAGGTGACTTCACTGGCAGGACAGGGCACTGGGGGCATTCCTAAGGAGCAAGCTGCTGTGTCCCCCATTAAAGGGACTTACTTCCTGGAGGCCCTCAGCTGGGAGCACGAAGGTGCTGCGGGGCAGCCTTCCCATCTCGGGTCACTCGCCATGAGCCATTAGGAGTCTCTGGCTTGGGATGATTTTTCTTCCTCCTTCTAGGTAGAATTAACATTTTTTAAAGGCACTTTTTCTTTTTAAGTACCTCTCAATATTGCAAAACTATGATTTGAAGCAGAATTTCTTATTTTAGATGCACTCAAAACCTCCACGGAGATGAATGACAGTAATAAAATGTACTGCTTATTGCCAGATATGTAAAAGAAATCTCCCCACTGGAAGGCTACCTACTGAGTCTCTTGTCCGCTCTGTGAAAATCCAATGAACACATGGTACAGACCCCTCCTCACCTGGGACAGCACTCCCTCTATTGCTCCCGCATTTGCAGGGGTGGGAACCAAGCAAGGTGAAAGTCGAGAGAGTCCGTGTTCACTTACGCTAACGATGCTGGGTGCCAGAGGCCTCCGGGACATGCCTGTCGTTGCGTCCTGTATGTTCTCCGACCGACTGCCACCTTTGGGCAGGGAGCAGGCCTTCCTGCCCCCTGCACCCCGGGGCCCCTGGGTACCCCATCGGTTCCCTCCCCCCTTCTCCTGGCTCACCTTCCCAACCAGGAGCTCCCTCCCCATGAGGTTTCACGTAGAGACTGTGTTCTTGGTGTTAGTGGTTTTTAGAGTCCCTTAGGGTTTTAGAATTACATGGAAAACTTCCTGATGTGGTTGTGCTTCATTTTTAACTAAAAATTGAATGCCTTTGTGGGGAAATTTTATGATCAAATAAACTTTGGCCCTTTTTCTGACTGAATAATTACTTGAAACCATAAAACAATAAATATTTAGGATCTCCTCCAGAAAACTCAAAAATCTGAGCAAGTCTTGACTGATTTGGGCCCCTGGGTACCTGGCCAGAAAGATGCTTGTTTGAGAGCTAGAGATGCTCACTGTGATTTTTACTTCTGTTGGTGCTTCTTTTTTATTTGAGTGACCAAAAGTTTGGGTTATGTGGGGATTTGATGAATGGCTGCAACTTCACTGTCATGCGCTGGGTGGATGATTGACAGGATGAAATCTTGTTCTGTCTTGTCTGCCTGTCTTCCCTTTGCTAAAAACTGTAACTGGCAAATTATGACAGTTTGTTATTGTGTTAGTTATAATAATTAAGGAGATTAATAAAATTACTGGTAAAAGTTCGGTTGTTTTGTTACTCTTCTGTGTGGACAATTCTTCATGCTAGAAGTTCAGACAGCCCTGAAATCTCTTTCCCACCCATATTAATATTTCATAGTGCTAAATATTCTCTTCTATCTCTCAGTAGAGCTGTGTGACATTCTTCATATAAATCTTGTGCATTTCTGCTAAGGATATTTTTATTTTTATTTATTTTACATTTATAACATCTTTATTGGAGTATAATTGCTTTACAATGGTATGTTAGTTTCTGCTGTATAGCAAAGTGAATCAGCTATACGTGTACATATATCCCCATATCTCCTCCCTCTTGTGTCTCCCTCCCACCCTCCCCATCCCACCCCTCCAGGTGTTCTCAAAGCACCGAGCTGATCTCCCTGTGCTATGCGGCTGCTTCCCACTAGCTTTTGGTAGTGTATATATGTCCATGCCACTCTCTCACTTCGTCCCAGCTTAAGGTTATTTTTAGATATACGTGAATGAGAATATGTCCCCTAATACATTTTATAACCAGGGTAAATCAAACCTATTGATGTTTGTATATTTGTCACATCCAGCCATGCTACTAAGATTACTTTATGAATTCCCACCTTTTGTTGCTGTTATTCTTAGGTTCTCTAGCTTTACAGTCATACCATTCTCAATAAGTAATTCTTATTTTGCAGTATTTGAAGCTGTTGCTATTGTTGTTCGCTGCTTATATTAACAAGAAATTCAAAAGCAATATTAAATAATAGTGGCGATTGCTAGGATTCTTGCATAATTTTAACAGGAGTGCCTAATGTGAAATGATTATTTTGAGCACTCATTTTCTTGTGTGGTTATTGTTCTGTTTAAGCTTTAGCCGTTGGGATCTTGTCTTTGCTTTTTTTGTTTATCTTTTTATTGAGAATTTCAAATGCACTTCATACAAATCAGAAATGAAGACAAGGGTTGGCCAGCAGGTGTAGAGAAGATGGCAAACTAAGAACAGGCCCACTTGGACATTCTGGTCTTGTAGGTTATTCATTAGACATTCTTAAAGTTTATCTTTTTCTGTTTTACTCTATGTTTTTTATGGTAATTTCCTCTGTATTGCCTAATTTGTTAATATTCACTTTGATCTCATTTTCACTATTCTAATTTCACTCTAATTTGGGGGAGATTTTTCCATTGTGTTCATAACTGCTGAGAAGGAGTGCTTCATTTATTTCCTTCTGAGCATGTGTATTTTTGGCTTTTATTAAGGCTCTATGTTTCTGCTAAGTAACATTGGCCACATTTCCTTAAGTTTAACCAAGTTCCTATAATTATGATCCTGAATAGTCCCAGCTATACTTCTTAGATTTGCTTTGATCCAAATATTGTTAGGAAACTAGTTTTTGTTTGAAATGGTGCTCTTTACTTTTCAACCATTTGGGGGGATTTTATTTAAACATTTTTTGTTCTTTTCACATGTGTGGGTATAGTAGAGACCATTTTCTGTGAGATTTCTCCTTTGTGGATTTTGAGTTTTCCTTTGTAGCCTCAAACCTTTTTTATAAAATAACAACACCATTTTTAAAGTTGGTGCTGTTTGTTCTATAGTTAATTCAAACATGTTAGTTATATTGTTAAAATTCCCCCTTTTTTTTTAGCACTTTAGGAATGATTTTATGTTTTTAGGAGTTCACTTGGAAGCTCCCAGTTAAATATGATGAGCTGAACATATGCTTTGACTTCCTCTGCCTGCTGACAGAGGTTTACAAACCACATCTGATAGAGGTTTTGTATCCAAATAGGTCAAGACCTCTCAAACTTCAGTAATAGATATTTTAAATATATTTTAATGGGCAGAGGATTTGAACAGACACTCATCAAAGAATACATTCGAATGGCAAGTAAGCACATGCAAAGGTGCTTGCCATCTTGAGTCACTAGGGAAACACCCATCAAACCACAACGAGATACCACTGCCCATCTCTTCGAATATCTAAAATTAAAAAGAATGACCAACCAAGGTTTGGCAAGGATGTGGAGACCCTGGAACCCTCACATACTGCTAGAGGAAATGGGGAATGATCTAACCACTTTGGAAAACGCTTTAACAGTTTCTTAAAAACTTAAACATACATTTAATATACGACCCAAGATTTTCACTCCTATGTATTTACCCAAGAGAAATAAAAGCACATATCTATACAAAAACTTTTACATGAATGTTCATAGCAGTTTTATTTATAATAGCCAAAAACTGGAAACAATCCAGTTGTCCACCAGTTGTTGTGTATCCATACAATGGAATACTACCCTGCATAAAAAGGAATAAACTATGGATCTCAGCAACAACATGAATGTGTCTCAAAATCATGCTGGCTGAAAGAAGCCAGATAAAAAAGAGTGCCTGCTGCATTGTGTGGAGATAAGCATTTGCCTGGGAATGAGGGCAAGGGGGAGGGGTATAACGAAAGGGCATGAGGAAACCTTTGGGGTTGATGTTTGTTATCTTGGTTATGTGAAGCTGTGTGCATCAAATTATACACTTTAAATATATTCAGTTCATTGTATGTCCCTTATATCTCGAGCTTTTTTTAAAAAAATCATGTTATTACACTTGCAAAACAATAGGATGCTATGAAAATGAAATTATCTGAGAACAATGAATCTAGGAACTTAGAAAATGAGAATTTGATAGAAGAGGTAGAAGGCAAAATCAAGGCTGTCCTAGAAAACATAACAAAAGACCAAGAACAAGGAAACACAGCACCATGTAGACGGTCCCACATTTGACTCATGGGCATAACAGAAAAGCCTTCTCCCCAGTTCTTCCCTAAATGGGATGATTTCAAGAACCTCTGTCCACATAAGCTGATCTGAGGATTGCTTCAAGGTGACCTGTGAAACAAGGTGGACTCAGACTAGACAGGAAGCCCTGGTTGGCCTTCTGGTGAAGGAAGCAAGCAAGCGGCACAACAATCACTGGAGAATGATACAGTGTTTGCAAGTTGAGAGGGAAACAAAACGCTGTATCTGTGGAGAATGTGCGTGCACATGTAGTAAAAGCATAAAAACAGGGATTGGATACACAGAAGTCCTTGATCATGGCTGTCTTTGAGGAGGATGTTTCAGCAAAAAATAGAAATGAAGTCCTCCCTCCCCTGAGAGCAAGGAAAACAAAGGGACAGCGAACA